ACAATTACTGGTACCTATGCATGAACAATCAGTGCTTTTTGTAATACCAGACGAATCTGTTACCAAAAAGACGATCTAGGAGCGATGCTGAGAGTGCCCAGGTTGGACCAGGGCGCAGATTTAGAACACCCCATATCTCGCTGTTGGAGAGGGCGTGACCGCATGTTTTATTCGGGCATGGCGTGGAGGGCATTTTTCGTAGGATTTCTCCATTCGAGACAATTGCTATTCTTTTCTCTAGCAGAGAAAGACATGATTACAATTTCTCGAAACGCAAATCCCATCAGATGCAACAGACGGTGCCAGTTTCACATGGGGTATGCAACCACGCCCTCCCCACCTTTGGGATTAAGTGTATACGCGATCCAATACCTTACCTGATATGGCAATGTCTTGTTACGTCATAGGCAACCAAAAAAACATCTCGTCATTAACGTGTTATCTGATACGATATCTCATCAACATGCAAGATGGCACGTCATTTCCTCATTCTTAACAAGCAGCGAACCTCTGCTACATCTGCGCCCAGGCGCAATTCGGAGCAGTTTGGCGACGGAGGGAGTGGGCATTTTGCGCTTTTGCTACATCCCATCGATGTGTAGAGCCATCAAGTGAAGACCTCTACGGGTGTCACCGGAATAAGACTTGTAAAACGGAACTAAAGAAGCCGCGAGTGTGCAAAATGCCCCCCCCCCTAGACCCGAACGTGCTCGCGATTTAATACAGAATTTGATTCCCGCACCATTCGTGTCACTACAAGACATTTCTCAGCTTCTCAAGTTAGCACAATTTCCCAGGAAAAGGGTTAGAAACCCCAAATACTCTTCAGGCCTCGTTATCGTTTCAGTCAGAGACCTCTCTATATAAGCTTCCCTCGAGAATCATTCTGACGAAATGACCCAGCGAAAGCTATATTGTGCGTTTCATAAAACGACGCGACCGCATGTGGACATGAATAGTAAATTTGGGTGGTCCTCGTGACGTCCTCGTAATAGTCTTCGATCAGAAAATCTCCCAAACCAAAGCAATACCATGCATAAGCGATGACACTCTAGGTCGCGTAATTAATCTGCAAAGCGACCACACCAAAACAATCAGTGGTGAGCTATGGCGCAAAGGGATCCGAATGGGCGATAGGGCACAGACAAACAGACAGCAAATCGCCGAGCGCAAAATCTTAACGCTGTCACAGCTCTGACTAAGTAACATACATCCTTCACTGCGGAAAAAGTAATCGAACAATGGCACTGCTTAGCTCATCTCAACAAATGAGCAGATTTCGCAACCCCGCAAACAATTCTAGACGGAAGAGCAGATTTTCAACAAGAAAACTTGGAAGAAACAAAGACAATCATGGTTAAAGTACCTCTTTCTGTTCCACTTGCTATCGAGTTTTTACCCGATGATGATGGAGAATCTGATTGGCAGGCCACTGTAGACGGGATTACCACCTGCAAAAACTAACAATAACAATACTGGAAATATCGCATTGTTCTGCGTCATTAATAATACTGAGAACAAAGAACCTATTGAAAATAATGGCCAAAATCTTCTCAGCCATAACCACCCACCTCCCTCTCTGCTGCATTGGACAAATGCATTTCATGAAGACCGTTCACAGTCTCGCCAACGCCATCTGACTGAGAAGCCTCAAATAATGCAAATAGTAGAAGAAAATTTCAGTACTATGCCAGTTTCAAAGAAAAAAAAACCGGAACATTCGCTTGTAAGGCTACCTTGTGACGATCTGTAAACTCCTGTAAACAAATTGCTTATACCAAGTCGCAGCTTGGCTGAAGTTTACAGGTCTCACCAACGTCTAACCATTTACAATATGAACTAGCAAAAAAATAGCGAAAGTGCAAAATGCCCCTCCCTAGCCGAAGCGCCGGAAAACACTACTTTCTTGGGTTTGAATGCCGAGTACTCCTCTATGGCAGAACATAAACTTCGCCTAATGAACAACACAGGAAACCTAGTCACGTGTGCCCTGGTGTACATGAGAGATACACCAGGGCACACGGAAACTTGTCGATTCACATGAGCATTTAAGGGGAAAAATTGGAAATTCTGGAATTTACAAGGTACCTCTGCGAGGGCACACTGTGGGGTAGTGGGTCATATTTGGTAGGGTCCTAATTCGTAATCGGTTCCCCGCGCAGTTCGGCTACATTTAAGGGGATTTTTGTAAACTCCATAAGAAACGTCAGAGTTTCACTCCGAACCGCTTCTGTTTAAAGATATGAACGGTCATTCGGAGCTTCTTCTCTCAGCCAAAATCCTCACCTCCTAGCTTTAAACCTTTCTTCGCACATTTTTGCATCGACTATGAAGGACAGGCCATGCGGACCTTCAAAGAGCGCCAGTTTACTTGACTTTCCTCCGTTTAAGTATTACTACTTTAATAAAAAGTCCCCCTATTTCAGATAACGAATACCCGACTTCAGTCTGACACCTTAAATTAAGCATATGGATCAAATACAGCTGCATTACTGATTTTCGATTTGTCTGACGGGAAGGCGAAGCAAACTAGACATTGAGCATTTGCGTTAAGGTACCAAAGATCATGCAAACTGAACGCTCATGCGATGATGTTCGTTGGACCACGGCGAATACCGACTGGATTCCGCAGGATGTCGAACGTACATCAACGACCGCCGACCTTATAATCAGACATCATAGTATTTCTACACAAAAAAATTGAATCACTTTGTTATCCCAGTAATGCCGATTTACGGGCAAAAGTCTTAACATCATCATCAGGCGGGACTGGACCCCCCCACCATAGGCGTGTGGGATATCTCTTACGTCGTATGGGCGCCTCTGGTCCATCTCAGCTTGAAGCTTTTTGGCAGTTGCGTAGTATATACAGCCTCACGTCCAACATGATGACGCTTGTGTCCCTTCAGCACGCAGAGAAACCACTGGGCCACAAGCTTTAGCACGGTGCAGGGGCAAATAAAGGCCAGGGTACCATGGCATGGCCTACGTTGGGGTCTTCAAAGCGATGTACAGGAGCCGTATTCAGCTGTGAGTCGCTCTCTATCAGCTCCGCTCGACGGATATGTATCAGAGGCCATACCAAGGAAAATTCTCCTCAGCACCTGGGCGTGCTCCAACGAAGGCATTTCAGGCGTAACCCCCCCCCCCCTTCCCCTCAAAGCAAATGCACAGTCGATGTGGAATGCGACCTATAACATGCGCGGGCCAGCTCATCAAGTATCAGGTACAAGTAAGTGCTCTTATCCTCCCACACAAACCTGGTACCAATTCACCTTCCCGTGATCTATAGAGCTTGGTTGGCCTCGGTGGGATCCAAGCCGGATTCGAACCCCAGACGCTCAATGAATCATATGGTTCAGAAGAAAAATTTTAAAAAATGCTAGCAAACGGCAAAGAGGGGAAACGCATTCCTCGGAAGAAAACATCCACAAGGAAAAGCTACATAAAGGAATAGCTTAAAATGACACAAAATGCGTACAGGAGACTTTGAAGATCTGAGAGCTTTTGGGAAAAGCAAACAAAGAGCAACATCAGGAATGGCAAGCATCACTGTGATTGACAGTTCTCCCAAAGGAATAAGTGTCAACAATGGAAGCGATAAACACTTGTGTTTGATAAAATCGTGGAAGATGAATCAATTGTTCGGCCCTTGCACACAACAAAGAGGTCGTTCTAAAAATTCGTAGGTTTCCCTTAACCCATCCTGAAAATCCCAACAAACGTACAACCGAAGGAAAAGAAAGAAAGATGATCCCAATGGATGTAATCCGATATTATAACATGATCCCTCTCTTACTACAAAATAGTTTGCATACCCATGAGCAGAATGCGGAAACGTGCACTCTTGAAAATCAGACTCTCGAGGAAGTCTTGAAACTTTCCCGCAAGCCGAGTAATTATTCAGTATACGGTAATTTAACGGCGCAAACAAGGACTTTTTATCCGGAGAGGATTTAGATAAAAGCTTCTTCAGTATTTCACAAAGAGATTGAGAACATACGTTTTAAAGCCGTGTCTTAAAGAGAACATGAGGTAAATCTTCACAAAATCCCGCAAAGATTGATGACACAATGAAACAAATACAATAATCTCACCTGGCTACAAGGTCGAACTAAAGTCGTTCCAAACGGCATCGGGAAGGCCATATTCATTCCGTATTGATTAGCTGTCATCATTTGAGTGAAATACTGCTGCATCATTTCCTGATACTGAGCTGGAGAGAAGAAAAATGCTGGCATCGCTGGATTTCCTCCAGCTGGAGTTCCCACGGAACCGTCTGCAGAAACTCCTTGCTGCGGCATGAAAGGTGACATGAATGGATTCGCAAAGAACGGCATCTCTGAAAATGAGGGGATTTTTTAGTATCACGGAGTGCATCAAATCGACTAAGGGGGACGGGGACTGTTAACACCCTGCCAACGTGCCAGGACTTTTTGACAAGACTTGTAAACTTTTGTAAAGCTATGATATATGTACTCCAGCTTGAGCTCCATTTCCTCTGCGCTTTTCTCACATTAAACGGCGTTCAGTGCAGGAAAGTACGAGCGAACGATTGTCAGCTAGTGTGGATTTGGGGAGGGGGAGGGGGAGATTTTCGCCAAGTAGAGCGCAAGCACCTCCAGGTGGGCTGACCAATCTCACTGTGCAAAAAAAGTTTGGAATAAAATTATCCAGTCTCGCACCCTCTGTAACTAATTATTTTTGCGAAAACTCTGGAGATGAGATTTATAGGAGTCAAAGAGTTTAAGTGCTTCCCCCCCCCTCCCGAGCCGAACGGCTGAGCCGAACTGATCTCGCCAAATTTTGGGACAATGGCTGGCAATGGACTGCTACCCCTAAAATGCTTTTTCCTCTCAGTATTAGTAAAAATCGTCATCTCCCGTAGGCAATACCCTTCGTATCTTTCCGCATTATATGAAGTTTACCTAAGAAAAAGAGAGAAGAAATTGCGGAACGAGAGCCCGGGCGCTGCTCGGCGAATGAGGGGGAAGGGCATTTTCCGCGTTCGCTGCTTCCCACTGTTGTAAAATTTTGGCAAACCATGAAGTGGTAACAGTCAAAGTGTGCAGAAACTAATTTTCAACTCTTCTGAAGGCTTGAGTACAACAGTAGAAAGCAGCGACAATGCAAAATGCCCATTGCTCCCTTGCGGACGGCGTCGGTGCTCGTAACTTTGCAGTTTTACAAGGTTTCATGAATGAAAAAAATCTCAAAATATTCTTTCACATCGACATCAACCAGCAAAAACTTCATTTTTCGAAGAATTCCTGAGTATTCGATGAGTGTAAGTGGATCTGGATCTATGTCTTGTCTAGAAAAACCTAATCTAATATGAGGCTAAACCAGAGGATAGAATACCAGAAGCATAGGAAAATGTGAATTCTTCACGCAATCTTAATGGGGAAACCAGCGGGAGGATAGAAATAAATGGGAGATGCATATGATTACCTACAAATGCCGACGGAGTGGTGCGTGGCGCGTGCGTGCTATTCATGAGTAATAAATCTACGCGATCACGTGATGATGACAGCCTTTCATAAATCATTGTCGTTTTTATTTGGTTAGCATAATGCACCCATTCACAAAATCGACGACGAGTTCAGAATCAATGAATATAAATTAGCCATGACCTTTTCGGTGGATTCTTTCAGCGCCCTTGGCCTGGAATATAGAGCGTGGTAAGATTTTAACCAGCTACCTATTAAGCAAAAATGGCTCCCATGTACTTGAAGGCAGGAGCCAGTGCGCTTGATTCAAGCGCTTTTGTAGCATGGGTCCGCACTCCACTGCGATGGGGGTACCTAAAGGAATTTTTGTGCAAAACTTTCAACTTTCACTTCCACGGCTTTGACAGGGGAGGGGGTGTGAGTGGGGCGGGCATTCCGTAAGATCTTTCAGAGCCAGGAAATCACTTTAGAAAAGAATTCTTGCACAACAGGATCGGTTGACCCACTGTAGAGCTCCTCCGCCCTACGCTTATGTATTACAAAAATGATAATCTCCCTGGCCCACAATGGTTTTTTAGCACTGGTGCAGCATGGGTACGCAGCCCTATATAAAACAGATTAGGCGTTATTAGCCTGGGAGGGGGATATTTGAAAGGCTCCCTCTGCAGAACTGGAATCCTCACGGTGGAGATGAGCACTTTTGCCTGACTTTCAAGCGTAGAAGCAGCGGATTTTTTGACTAATTTAAAATACGGCATTTCTACTTGGATGACCTTATGCCACTTCAACACAATAAGTTCTTCAAATGCTCCTCCAAAGCAACTAGCGCCATAAATTTCTACCTCATATGCGAAAAAAGATAAATCCAACGAAAAACTACTTGAAATCCAGATGGTTTTTCCTTCTGTTC